TAAAAAATTATTTTCTGTAGGACGTGAGAATTACCCCGGAACAGTTATTGACAGGGATTTTAAACTTATGTTAACTCAAATAAGTTTATTAACAAACTCATTATGTCCATACCCAAAAGGAATGAGAAGTTTTCTTCAATATCATTAAAAATAATGTTAAGAAGAAATTTCCTTTATGTCTAAATTATATAAAAATTGGCCATAGGAGCTTTATATTTGTACAAATCTAAAAAACCATATTATCTGCACTGTTTGGTTTCGGGTGGCCCAATAGGGATTTTTATACAAAAAAGTCAAACTCAAAGAATTACAAAAACTTAAAATACTACTTCAAAAAGTCAAAACCGTAGGTTTACACGTTTGTACCAAATTTCTCTAAAACCAGATTATATTTGCTTGAGTTATAAGTTTTGTCATAAGTTTTGCTTTTTCTGTATGGATTCCAAATTGTTAGTTTATGCTAAGAAAATCATAACGCACTCGAATCTTAGACCTTCCGGGAATCAAATCTTAGACTTCCGGGATTCGAATCTTAGACCTTCTGGGACTCGAATGTTAGACCTTCCGGGAATTAGACCTTCAGCAACTCTCATTTTATAAACATTTATTTAAAAAATATATATATTGTGTGCCCAAGGTCTAATCCCGCAAGGTCTAAAACAGTATCAGTAGATGAGTTTTTTGCATTGACTGTACTCTTAGACCTTCCGGGACTTAGACCTTCGACATACTGCCAGATTAGACCCTCAGCAACAAGTACAAACTGCAAAATGTGTGTCGAAGGTCTAATTAGACCTTCCGGGAATTAGACCTTCAGCAACTGATCCTTGTTTTCCAGTTTTTTTTCCACTACTTTTGTACTGGCCTGTGATTTTTTTTCTGCTTCTGTATGTAAGATTATTGTATTTTTCATGTAAAAATGTTGCAACCGTTTACAAATAATTAAATAAATAAATAAATCCCCTAAATGGGGGATTTGGGGGAAAACTCAAAAATTTCAAATGTTAAGCCCCATTGAGTGACCCCTTATTTTGAAGGTCGTGCTTCAAAATGAGGGGTCACTCAATGGGGCTTAACATTTGAAATTTTTGAGTTTCCCCCCAAATCCCCCCTTTTGGGGATGTACACCAAGTAGCAATTAGGCTCAAAAAGTACTTCATAACATGCCATAAAGGTGTGTAAAGTTTTTTTCCTAGTGTGAGCAGTTACAAAATTTACAGGGGGTCTCCAGACTTGGAATGCTGTAAGTTAAATTTAACTTCTGAGAAATCAATTAGCTGCCATTTTGTACCGGATTGAGATAGAGACCTCTAATTTGCGTTGTTGGTTTTCTTTTACCAGGACCTTCAAAATGAGGGGTCACTCGATGGGTCTTACCTTTAGAAATTTTTGAGTTTCCCCCAAAATCCCCCATTTTGGGGATGTACACCAAGTGGCGGTTATGCCCGAAGAGTACTTCATAACATGCTGTAAAGGTGTGCCGAGTTTAGTTTTTCTAGTATGGGCCGTTAAAAAATAAACAGGGGGTCTCCAGAATTTTTACTAACAGTATATATGTATATATACGTCCGTGAACGTGATAACTTGAGTAATTATTGTCCGATTTATGGTTTAAAGGTGTAAGGCGGGATGAACTTGAATGAGTTCGCGAACCAGCATGATCAGACCATTGGAACAAGAGCCTAAAAAACAAATGATATAGTATATCAAAGTGTTTTTGTACGGTTATTGGTAACAGAAAAAATTCCAAAAATTGTAAATTTAAAATTCCCATGTTATTCTTATGGAGAATATTGTAAAATGTTGTATAGCTCGGCCGCTTAGAAAACGACCTGTGCGCTAATGCTAAACCAATGCTGGAGGAGGTCGTTTTCTAAGCGGCCGAACTATAGTTTGCTTCTTGTTTATGGGTTCATTTTTATGAAACTTTATTTATTATTTATTTTATACTAAGCTATCATTATTTTACTAAAAGATACACTTTATTAGTTTCCTTGTAGTAGCAAACCTAGGTACTCGTTATCTCTAATCTTACTAATATTATAAATCTGAAAGTTTGTGAGTTTGTCTGTTGCTCAATCACGCATAAACTACTGGACGGATTGGGCTGATATTTGGCATGATGATAGCTCTCATTCCCTATTAACATTTAGGCACATTCTTATCTCAAAAATCCTTTCGGGCTCCGCCCCAGTGGGCCTGTAGTTCCCCATGTTAACCTAATGAGTATTCATATTTAAAGAATTTAGTCAGCTGTTTCAACTTTACAAGTTGGTTCTATAATATGCAATAGCATTAAAAAGTTATAAGGTTTCCCAACAGGGTGCAGCACTATTATTATTTTGTTTGTGCATATATGACAACAGCTAATTTGAACTAAGCAGCAACAAAAAGCTGTGATACACAATGAGAACTGTCAAAGTAGGATTGTTTACAGTTAGGTTTGAGTTTTTAATTTAATGAATAATTTGTGATATTGTGCGAATGTTTGATAATTTATTTTTTTCTATTGTTTAGGTGCAATGGTAGAACATTATGGCAATGGTAGATGTGTTATACTATATCATACCGTAAATTTATGAACCAAATTTTATCAAACTGTGTCCTCCCCCCATTGCAAACGCAAAGCTTGAGTATAACTGCAATAAGCATTTTAAACTTTTATGCCAACCCCGTACGAAGGACGGGTGCTCTGCTAGTGTTATATAAATAGATTTAATTAAAATAAATTCAGACAAATAGAAATTTGCTTAGTCGGCAGGTTTGCTGCGATGATGTATTTTTATGTAAATGTTGGTGCTGTTAAAATGTAAACAAACATATTTTCACTTAGAATAACATGGGAACTTTGAAGGCCACTGGGGCAGAGCCCTGATGGAATTTCATAAATGTTTTGTTTTATGGCAAATCCACGACCTATCCAACGACACCTTAAATTTGGTGATCGGATGCGTAGCAGCTCCAAAACAATTATCACAAAATTCATATTGGCCTATTAAATACAAGGGAGCGGCAGAATTACATGACGGTTTCTTTCCTGCCCTGCCATATTTCTTACGGTAATGCAAGCAAATACACCACTGACTGGCCTTTATTTTACTGTTTTTTAGATGCGGTTGTGTTACAAAAAACACTACTAAGATTTTGGCATTCAAATTTTTCCTATCCACTGTCAGGTATTAGTAACGGCATCGACTCTTTGACGATCAATTTCCAATACCAATGTTTCAGAATTGGTAGTATCCAAGAGTCTACACATCAAGAAGCTGATACCTTTTATCCTTTTCCTGTCTTTTTTGCGTACTCCACTGATTAATCAGCAGATCTGATTGAGCAACGGTTTGCAGTTGTCTTCTATACTCATATTGCTGCACAGATGATGCATTACAACCACAACAACGTAACTCAACTTACAATAAACGGTTTTCTAGTCTATATCTGTTGTCAATTTGTATTGTTTTTCGCTCTGTTGTTAATTTACACTGACGTTATTTATATTGTTCTCAATTTGCACTGCTCTAATTTATAATGTTACTTCACATCATGTGCAAATCACTATCATTGTAATCTCATCATCATGTCACCTTCTTACGTATCCATATTATGTTTTCTCTCGTGTGTACTTTTTTGTAAAATTGTGGTTGCCGTTGAAATAAATAAATAAATACTGTACCTAGATCAGACACAAACAGTTGGATTTGGAAAATCTACCTTGGAAAATGTAAATGAAACATTACTAAGAACATTTTATGATAGATAACTTCTAACAAGACAGCAACATTTTTTTATAAGTGAGTAGGAGGACCCTCTGGGATTTCGGACCTGGCTATTCTGGACCTCAACTATTTGTTTAAAATTTTATACATGTCCGTGAACAAAAATTTAGTTTGGTTTTTTAATTTAGTTAGTTTTTGAGTATTAATTATTGTTTCTGTAAGTATTCTATATATTCGTACCCCAATTACTCAAAAACTAACTAAATTAAAAAACCAAACTAATTTTTTTTACAAATAGACAATAATTTTAATATAAAAACTAAACTAATTAACCCTGAATACATTTTGTGAAATTTTGCATGTATATGAAAAACTGGATAAAGTTAGTTGAGTTAACGAACCAGGAAGATCGAGTAATAAAAAGAAGCTGTAGTGTGGTTTTAACTTGTTTTTCAAATCTACCTATTTCATTACAGCCATCGTATAGAGAAAAAAAACAAACATTTTTTATAATGAGGCATTGTTGACATGCTTTAAAAAAATTATTAAAGGTTACATAGAAAATAACAAAATGTTTTTCATTAAATTTTGCAAATTTATTCATTTTATCCCATACTATTAAAACTTGATCAAAAAGCACTATTGCTCTAACACGTGGCGGAAAACCTTAGTAGGTCTAGTTATTTAGGGAATAAATATGACTTGTTTATGGACATTTTTAGATAAAATCCAATCGGACAAATTGAAATTTGCTTAGTCTGCAGGTTTGCCGCAGTGGGGGTATTGTAATTATTTTACGGTGTGAAAGTGGAATAAACAGTGTTAGCATCATTGGTGAAAAATTGGGTACTTACGTATTATACGGAGGCCACTTATTTTACAGCGCGCTGCGGCGGTTAGGTTAGGTTGGGTTATCATAAGTTTTTATGACTCATCTCGTATAGTTCGATTCATAACGAAACTAGGAAAGTTCTACAAACATATTTATGATAACCCAACTTAACCCAACCGCCGCAGCGCGCTGTAAAATAAGTGGCCTCCGTATAATACGTAAGTACCAAAAATTGTTGTGTGAACTTGAAAAAAAAACAATCAAGCCTGCAAAACATCACTTTGTGTTGTTCTTTGGTGCAAAATTCACTATATTTATATCCATATTAAGTTAAAGATTTGTTTTAAAAGTTTCATTTCAATAAGTTTTATTGTTTTTAATCAAAACCATCGTGTAGCTAGACTGTGTAAAATATTACTAACAAGGTAACATAATAAGCTTGAACCACCATCTCATTTGCAAGTTACTTATATGTTTTTATTGCCAACAACAACCATAAAATAAAATAAGCCTAAGAATAAACATAAAAAATTAACTTCTAAAAATATCACTGTAAATGCAGGGTATATTGGTAAATTGGTCCTCTCTCGCTGGTTCAAGTCCTTAGGTTTCTATACATAAATCAATTCGGTCTGGTGGTTCTTGGTCACAAGGTGAACGAGACTACCGTTCGGGGGTCTATCTTCACCCTTGCTCCATCGGTAAAACAAACTGGAAAAACAGAGATAGGAATATAAATACAACAAATAGTACTGCACAGAAGTAAAATGTAACTCCGTCACAGCAAACCTGCAGGCTAAACAAATTTCCATTTACCTGATTGGATTTTAAATGAAATATATTTAAATAATATTAAGTTTAACAAGTACCTAGGTTTGCTGCTACAGGGAGGGTAATAAAGTGTACTATTAGTTAAAAACGTCAACTGTAAAAAAAACAGTTCAATATACCTGTGGCTAAAAGCTCAATCATTGTGTGTCCATTTTTTTAAACTTTCGGAAAACACAAAAACAAGATTTCAAACTTGGAGGAAAACATTGATTAACACTATGTATACCCACAAAAAATATGAAATATTGCCCAATGTTATACTGCATATGATAGTTATAACCATTCTGAGCTAACCTTAACTATTTCAGCATAGTCAAATTAAATATTTAACGAGGACGGACATACTATAAGTGTGCCCTTCTCTTTAGTTCCCAAATATTGTATGTCCACTAAGAATTGGATGTTGTTCTTTAGTGCTCAAATGATGTATGTCCTCATATGCAATAAGTGTGCACTAGGCCATTTAACCTTACAGAATACTGACTCTAATAGAGTCAGTATGAAGATAGGACATACAGTGGCTGTGCACATCCTAAATGATCTCTTCATCAAAACTGGAATATTTTTCATTTCACCATGTTTTGGTTGGACATACAATGTTGATGCAGGTGGAAAGAGCTCATCTTCCCCTTTAAATTGATACTAATAACTCGATTTAACATAAAAATGGACCTACAATGGTTGTGCTTTTAACCATCGATACAGTACGAAATTATTTGTTTTTTTAAGCTTGTAACAACGGTTTTAAGAGAAATTGGGAAATTTTATGTTTTGAGAGTATTCTATGATTTTACAATAAACATACTATAAAACTACAATCAGTTTTTAGTGTTTAACCATGCACCAGGTAGTGTGCTGGCTGGATCTATCATCAACATTACTTTTGAGAAGCCAGGTTAGGATGCGTGTAGGTCTTTATTTTGAAATTGATTTGAATACCTCTGCTTGCTGTTGATATTCAACATGTGTTTAACACAATATTTTTTTAACATGGTGAAATTACATATCATAGTTTCCAGTACAAATATTAGGAAGTGAAATATCAGACATTGGATTTCATTTCAAGAAATCACAACTAATGGCATGAACTTTATGGATTTTTTGCAATCAAAAGAAGGTAGCCTAATTTGAGCCAACATCCCATAAAAAGTTCATAGGTAAAATTCAGAAGGTTATAAGATTGGATGTAAAGAATACAGTAGCAGGAATGAGGTTCATACTCCGCAACAAACTCCAGGGGGGTCCAGGTAGACTTGTCAGCATCAGCCATCCACTTGCGGTTCATTGGAGTGTCCAGGGTGACAGGCAGAGTGGCCACAGACAGACAGTTAGCTGGCAGACCACTGTTCTCTGCAGCCAAGCTCTTTGTGAGCTGGTGGACTGCGGCCTACAAGTTAAAATATATACATTTATCAACATTATTAATTTTCCTACATGATCGTCTTCCATGAGAGCGGAAATATCATGAACATATTCCGCAGTCGTGTGGACATTATCATCGTCTTGCGCGATCGCGGTAAAATTGTGATCATCTCTTGTAGTCTCGCGGCTGTGAAGCTATTGCAGCAAAATTCTCACTGTTTCCTGCGATCGTGTGGACATTATAATCGTCTTCCATAATCGCGGCAATATTCTGATCATCCCTCGCAACTTTGTAGACATCATCAGCATCTTCATGCGTGATCGCAGCAAAATCATGAACATGAACATATCCCGCGGTCGTGAAGACAATCATAATCGTCTCATGCGGTCATGAAGACATCATGATCGTCTCTCGCGATTGCGGCAAAATGTTAATCATCTCCCGCGGTCGAGTGGAGATCATCATCGTCTTCTGCGATTGTTGCAAAATTCTGATCATCCCTCGCCGCCGTATGTAGACATCAGTATCGTTTCCCTTGGTCACGGGAAACGTCACCGTTGTCATGCGCAAGCGCCTGGGTGAGTGAGAGTTTGAAACATTTTGGAAGGGGTCAATGACCTTCAGTGGGCTTGGCTGGAGATGAGTGGCTCATGATTATTTTATATTCTACTGTGCTTCCTTCAGAGAAAAAGACTCTACAATCACAAAAACACTAAAAAAAAAACTACAGTTTGATATGAAAACCTTGATTTGTGTAGGGAAGTAGGACAGTCTCTGTCTGCACTTAATTTAACTTTTTTTCCTGGAATGTGGTTAATCCGATTACAGTCAATTAGTAGTTTAGTGTGAATTGAAATTACCCAAGAAAATTAAATTGATAAAGACATGACAAAAACTCACGCTTTGATTGGGTTAAAGCTCTTAACATTGTGGCAAAAGATCTAGCCCTACCTTAGCCATTCCATAGCCAACCATGCCAGGAGTAGGTCCAAGAGCAGGTTTGGCGCCAGGTAGAGACACGAGCCCTCCCTCCTTGAGATGCTGGGCGGCCACAGATGCAGCTATCACGGACGACCACACACTCTGACGCCACATCAGGTCACTGTTCTTGACAAACTCTGCAAAAAACCAAGTCTAAGCTAAGTCATTCCTCACAGATAATCATGAAAACTCCTCGAGATATCTACCACCAATCTAGAGATAAGCCCTTTTGATTACAATATCTAAATTCAAGAAAGCATCAAATGTGTTAGGACTCTGGTTAAATAACAAGAACTTTAACAATATATTATATATTATTATATTATTACTAGCAGAGTACCCGTCCTTCGTACGGGGTTGGGATATAGGTATAAAATGCTTATTGCAGTTATACTCAAGCTTTGCATTTGCATTGAGGGAGGACAGAGTTTGATCAAATTTGCTTCTTTAAATTTATATTATTTTATAGTATTACACATCTACCATAGCCATAATGTTCTACCACTTCACCTAAACAATAGAGAAAAATAAATTATCAAAAATTCGCAAAATATCACAAATTATTCATGAAATTAAAAAAACAAACATAACTGTAAACAATCCTACTTTGACAGTTAGTTCTCATTACGTATCACAGTTTTTTGTTGCTGCTTAATTCAAACTAGATAACCTGTTGCTCGAAATCGAGCAAAACTCCAAAGCTAAATCCCTCTCTTGACGCCAACCAGTACGACACGTACACTTATTAAATTATTCCTATATGTTTTGTTTTAGGCGTGTTTAAATTAGGTGATCCAACCAAAGTCTCTGGTTGGGAGCCTAAGAATGGATTTAACGACGTATCTAGAACGGATTCACTTTCAACTATTAGTAAAAAAAAAATTATTTGGCCAGGTGGTGCTCTGTTTTCAGCTTTAAAATAGCTGCGACATATATACAGGTAGCATCATTGTAGCAAGGAAAGTCACTTCTTTTGTCTCTTACTATGCACATAAGATTGAAGTTATTACTATAAATAACTTGACTACTCGCAGCACTCGTCCCTACAAATTTCTGCCAAAGTTTTAAAATATTGGGCAAATGGGTTAGCATTGTGACCCTATTTCTCGCATATTTTTTCATTGATTTTTTGTTCGAATTGTTTTACATGCGCTGTTTGGTTCCAGTGCCAACGTCGTACTTATAGATCTGTGCGTATTCGGGATCATGACCTTCTTTGAAGAATTCTTTGAGAAATTCCTTCTTGAGGAATTAGATTACCAACTTGGTGGTAAAACTTTTCATGGATCCTGAAACTGTAGATCCCCTGTGTGACCCTCTCGTCAAAATGAGCTTTAGAGCTGACCATGGCAAAGGCGGTATTGAATTGACGAATATTATCCAGATAATTTCTGGATCTAAGTCTCACCCCCCCTGACCTGAGTCTCAGCCCTGTTTTCAGTTTGGGAGTGTCCAATAAGTTCCTGAAAGTATGGTGAATTCCGCAAATGAGGTTAATAGTGTTAACACTGTTCAATGAAATGGCGACCATACATTAGAGATGTGTCGCTGCAGCTGGAACTACATTTATCCACCGTTCCGAGAGTGGAACTCGTTCCACCGTTCCAAGCGGAACCACAATCCAGTTCCAGTTCCACTGGAACTACTTTTTCAGCTGCAGCTCGGTGGAACGATTTGAATGTAGTTCCGCACAAACAGCTGCAGCCTTTTTGTAAATTTTTAAAGATAAGTTCCGGAGTAACTGGATTTGTAAAACACATACAGTTACAACAAAACAGCTGCAGCTGGTTTATTAATACTCTCACTAAACATTAAGTTCTAGTCTGTGCAGCTGATGCGTTTTGACTTATTTGGTCTCTTGTAAACAAAGGTGTGATTAGCGGATATGGTTGACATACCTTAAAAGAAATTAATCATTTTCTGTTTTATTATTTTTTTCAGGCAGGAGTTAAATAAAAGTACATCAGTCCCAGTTAAGTCGTGCTCATAATATATAAAAATTTAATTAAGTTATCTCTTCCTCAGTTATCAGTACTGTACCGTAATAATGGTTTGTGTTTAACTTAATTCAGGATTTTTTCGCTATTAACTTTAGAATTTTATATTAAGAGTTAGTCTAAGTGGTGTTTGAATAATATTATTTTAACAATAAAAAAATGTATAATATGAATAAATGCATAATATGAAGAACCTCTAAAATAATTTATACCAGCCTGTCACGTATTGTTTTTAGACCCTAGATAGACAAACTAAAATAATTAATTACTTGTACAACATTTCCAAAACACGATATTGATTTCTTTACAACCGCTATTTTGCATTATTTAAAACAATATTCTAATTCAAGAACTGCTTAAACTAATCCGTCTCAAATTATGGTAATAAACTGAGATTTTGTTCATCCGCCCTTTTGCCTCGTTCCACTACAGCCATAGCTCCGCTGCAGCGGGAAATCCAGCTGCAGCGGGCAAAACCAGCTGCAGCTGGAACTGCTTTTGGAACGAGTTCCACGGCGACCTTGGAACTAGCTGCAGCTGTTTCGCCCAAGTAACTGCTTGGCACATCTCTACCATACATAGTAGGTATTTTAAGCCAAGTATGAATGGAGATGAGTGTAGGATGAGTGGCGCGATCTTGTAGTCTTGTTAGTGACTAAGGCCGACATTCCTTAGACATAGCTGTTAATTAATAGCCCATACAGCTAATGGCAACTAAGGGACCTACAGTTTATAGTGGAATCCGAACCACATTTTTTCCTTGGTATATACGAATTGGTCTAATTATCAGGATAGTACTGCGGATAGTCGTAGTACTCACTCGTGTGGACGTTAATCCACACCAGGGAGTAACACATCCGCAGTGCAAGCCTATAAATATCCACAATTCGTGACCTCCTAGTAGCTGGATTACAGGACGACGCCACCCGTCCCAGTCAGTTAAACGAACCTTTCATTTATGGCAACAAAGAGTAAACATTGAACCGTCTCGGCCAGTCTTTTCTTGCTTAAAATGTAAGCCACCACAATGTAAAAATTAAAAATTCATTTGTCCGAGATTGGATGTATCACCACGGCGCGCGGTACTGCCACTCTGTATCCGTCAAACTAGAAGGTTCGATGCAAGCGGTCACGTTTGCATTCTCTCCAGCCACTCACAGTTCTTCGTCTTACTGGTGGCATTTAATTTAAAAATTTAGATAAAATACGAAAGTTAACCAATCAACAGAAAACACAACAAAGGAATTTTGACACACATTGTAAATTGCATGATAATATGGTAATGGGATATCTGCACTGTGAATAATCACTTTCAAACATTCACTTAATCACACCAAATTGAAACCAAAACTACATGATAATTCAGTAAAATATGATTTTAGGTAAATAAATTCAACCATTACAAACAATTTGTTGTCAGGTCTTGCTAGGAAACTCTTTATTTATGAACCAGACTTAGTTAACAGATGTTTAACACGTTCACTGCTAATGACGCACTTGTGCGTCATAAGTATATTAGCAGATATATAATACATGATGTATATAATTACATAATATATTTTAATCCACAATTTATAGTATGAAATTTATTTAATTAAAGATATATTGTCACTCAATTAACATGATCATGTTAATGTTAATGTTTTTTAGCCATTTATAAAAGTATTACATATCATTAGCAGTGAATGTGTTAAATAAAAATATAAAATTCCAGCTTTGCTCTAAAAGTCCTGGAAGTCCTGCAGTCTGTGGTTAAACTTAAAAACTATTTCAAACTACGTCCATATTGTTAGTTGTAAACAAATGGAATTGAGTTAGATATAATGTCAACAGATAGCGCCACGGTTCCCAAACTTTAGCCCTTAACTGTACTTAAGTGATACCCTTTCTTAATATTATGAGACGTATTTGCACATCTACGCGAAAATACCTTTTATTTAACACCTCAAACGTTAAAATCCGTCAAGCCGTTATCGAGTTATAACTGTGAAAAGAAAACTGTTTGCGTATTAATATATAGATTTTCTGTTTTCATAAATGCAAAAAAATATAGTGCTTCACCCTGTTGGTAAATCTTATAACTTTTTAATGCTTTTGCATATCATAGAACCAACTTTTTAAGAACCAACAGCTGACTAAATTTTTTAATTCCCTTTAAATATGAATACTCATAAGGTTAACATGGGGAACTACAGAGCCACTGGGGCAGAGCCCGAAAGGATTTTTGAGATAAGAATATGCCTATATGTTAATCGGTAATGAGATCTATCATCATGCCAAATTTCAGCCAAATCCGTCCAGTAGTTAATGTGTGATTGAACTTCAAACAAACAAACAAACACACAAACTTTCACATTTATAATATTAGTAAGATTACAATATATTTGTCGTTGTCTCCTGGAGTGGCAGATTTAAAGCTTGTACGAACAAGTGCCAGTCTCTCTTCACTCTCACCCTAACCCTTTAGAAAGGGTCAGACCTAAACCACGGCCGCCTTGAACTAAGGCCACGGCGTTCAGTGGCAACACCGCATGGGATGGCTGAATGAATTAATGACTACGACTACGCTACACCACTGTACGCTCGCACCACAAAAGATTAGAGCAAGCATGCATATTATCTATAAATTCAGATGTTTTATATCTGACAACACTGATGTGTATGAAAATAAGGAAATAATCATACAAGGCTTTTGTGTCAATCCAAGAAAATATTTATTAAAACCTTTTATGGTAGCCTACATTGAACATTTAAGTATAATTAACTTAGAATTGTAGTTTTCTTCTGTCTATTCTACGTATTTACTCTTGTAGTAATTAGGTATTTATTATTTGTTAAAATTGTAATCCTATTTACATTGTTATTTAATTAACTCTTCTAATAAAGGCTATTGTTTTATCAATATTATTGGAATAATGACGTTTACTATACAATATAAAAATTTTCAAAAATAACAAATAATATTATTATTATCGAGAAAGGAATGAAATTTTCCTACGGTTACACTGGCTACTATTTTTCACTAAAACCCAGCAAAAACGATTTCTTTGACTTGGCTCTAAATATTTTTTTTTAGATTAAAACCTCCAATTTTTAACCCCCAAAATTTTGCCCTCCCCTTAAATTTGCGGCCCTATGCG